GGTTTAAGCTAAATATATATGTGTGTGTGTATGTGCGTGCGCGCGCATGTGTGTGTGTGTGTGCGTGCGTGCGTGTGTGTGTGTGTGTGTGTGTGTGTGTGTGTTTGTTCAGTTTTCTTCACCAAAAAAGTATTTGAAAATTTAATATAAGATTTATTGTGAAGAAATTCTGCAGCATAAATTACTAGAATATCTGCAACTAGATAATAACCATTTATGATCTTGGAATTTGTGACAAAATCCCTGATATAGTTGCAGGGAGGAAAGACAGCTTATTTTAATTCCCAGTTTTAGGGATTTCCATCTGTGGTCACTTGCCTTTCAGCCAGTGTAATATATAAAGGAAGAGAGACAGCCAGTTTGTCACATAGAAGCAATGAGAGACACAGGGAGAGGCTGTAGTCTCAGTATCTCTCCAGTCTCCCCCAGTGACTTAACTTCCTTCCACTGGGTCTTCCCTGTGAAGGCCCCACCACCTGCCAACGGAGATCAAGACGTTAGGGAATGTCCAAGATCCAAACCATAGTAGAGTTGTTTTGTCTTTGTCCTAAAACAGATTTGCCAAGTTCTAAACAACTATAAAGCTTATTAATTTAGAGTTATTAGTTTGCTACTTTGTGGGAAATTATTCACTTTTTTTTCCCACTTGGAATATAATGATCATTGGTATGAGAATGTGAGTACCATTAAAATACATAGGGCTTTCCTAAAACCCATTCACAAAGTAGAATGTATTATGCTTTCTTTTGTTCAAGTGATGGTAGGATGGGTGGAAAACCTTGATTTGGGGTCAGTGTTTCATAGTCTTCAGAATCTGGCTTTCACATGCTCTCCTAGGAAAGTAGTGTTTATTAGATGTGATAATTCTGCATTTGGCGTTGCACTGCCTTCCTAATATTGGTAAGAATGGTAAGTTGGGAGATACTGAGAGAATGACTGACGAAATCACCACTCTGTAACTATCTTACGAGGATAGAGCCCCAGTCTCTGCACGTGTAACATATAATGAAGAGCTTACACGAGAACAGAATTATATAGGAAGTATACGTTTAGCTTAGAAGAAAAGTCCAATCAAGAGTAGAAGCCACAGAAAAGAAATTTCAGATCACCGTGAGGAAGGAGATCCTTTCACTAGAGGTAGACAGGCTACAAAGCCACTCTAGCAAAACAGGGCAACGCCACCTATGTCATGAGGTGACCAGCAGGCGCTTTCTGACAGTAACCTTTTGCTTCAATTTTGTAGTAAGCTGTAGATGTCAGAGTCTGCTCTCCTTGCTTCGGTTACTCTATATCTAATTCAGCCATATTATACTAAATTTGAGGCCATTTTTCTTGTCTTTAGAGAAAAGAAAAAGACAAAGGCAAGAGGAAGGTGAAAATCGAAGAAGAGTAAGTACAATATTATATTAAATTGCTGTTAACTGAAATATCTAGGAAACAGTATAAGAATCTTACTTGGAGTAAATGGTTGAAGATGAGAAGCAATAGGTAAATGGCAAAGGATGTTTTTTTTTCTCTTTAATGTGTATGTTTTGCCTGAGTGCATGTCCTTGTACCATGTGCATACCTGGTACCCAGAGTACACACGAGGGCATTGGTCACCTAGAACTGGAATTATAGATGGTTAAGAATTGAACCCTGGTTACTTGGAAGAGCAACAAGTACTCTTAACTACTGAGCCATCTCTGCATCCCTGGATGTATTTTTAAAGAAGAGAAATTTTAATACTTTTACGTATACACATTATCCTGTCAGATTTGTTCTTTTAAAAAGTCATTAGTAACTTAATTTGAGTCCAGCATCTATCAGTTTGTTGACTGAATTATGTACACAACCACTGTTTATTCAATAAATGAATTCATGCAGGCTTGTTAATAAAGTAGTTTGGGTTGCTTTAAAATTAATATGCTTTTTCAATATGGCATTTATATTATCCTCTTTAATTTCTCTTGAGTCCTCCATTTTGTTGAGGCAAATCTTCTTTGAGAGAGTGAAAAAAAAAAAGAAAATCCATTACAATTTCTACAACATTTTAACATTTATGTATTTACCTTGGAAAGTAAGAGAAGATGTCATAGTTGTCTTTGTATGTTCTAACATATGCTATGTAAAAGGAGATTTGTATATTAAACATGGTGACAAACGCCTTTAATCCCAGCACAGAGGCAGAGACAGGCAGGTCTCTGAGTTCTAGGTCATCCTGGTCTATATAGCAAGTTCTAGACCCACTAGGGTATAGTGAGACTCTTAAAATAAAATAAATAAATATTTTAAAAAGGTAGATTTGTTCATTATTTCAGAAGATAGATTTGTTCTTTATTTCATAAATAGAACCAAACAGTAGACATTACTAGAAATAGCATTTACCTTGTATTAGGACAGTGGTTCTCAACCTGTGGTCATGACCCCTGGGGGGGGTGTCAAATGGCCCTTTCATGGGTATTTCATATCAGATATTTACATTATAATTCATAACAGTAGCAAAATTTTAATTATGAAGTAGCAATGAAAATAATTTTATGGTTGGGGGTCACTACAACATGAGGAATTTTTTTAAAGAGTTGCAGCATTAGGAAGGTTGAGAAGCACTGTATTAGGACTTCTAACTTTCACAGTTTACCAAAATTGTAATAGACTGACTACATAAACATAAAAAAAATGTATTCAAAGTGCCAAAAGTTTCTGGCATGAATGTATCCCCATTTGTACAAAACATTGGATAGGTATAGAATCTCAGTTAATGAGATCATACTGTCTTTCATGATAACTAAGTCTATGTGAGTCAGGTTTATTGTACTTGTATACAACCTTAACTTGTTATCAGAAATGTATTATCAGATCTCTAGTATTTGTAGCTTGCTCAAGTAAAAGAAGTTTTTAACATAACTTTTATATAGTCAAAGTAAGCTTGCTATTCTAATATTTTTTGAAGTTTTAGATAGAATAATATGTTAATATAATCATAACCAGCAAAATGTTTTTGTTAAAAATTAAAAGCTATAAAAATTGATTTTAAAGATGCTATTAAAATTCTACAGATTGCTAATGAATTTCTTATGGAAAAAAATGGTTACATTACCCTGCATATGGAATGTTGACAGTATAACTTTTAGTTACATATTTGATTGGGTTTCTGCTCTAGGAATGGAAAGAACGTTATGGACACAACAGAGAAGATTCTACTAGGAACAGAAATGTTCATCCTGACCCCAAAGAGTCAAATTTCTCAGATACTACTACCAATTGGTGTAAGTAACTTATTTCCTAGTTTGCTTAGGAGTTATTAGTGTTTGTGCTATATAGAAACCAAAACTGTACCCATCTCTGGACTCGCAAATATGTCTACAGTGCCTTCCCTTTATCATAGTCCTTAGTGTATACAAGGAAGGGGAAATGGAACATCAATTATGTAGTTGTAAGTTATGAATCTAAATAACTAAATTATTTCCAAGGTGTGTTCTAGGATGGTACCTATTTCTCCTATTTATCTTGATGTTTTTCTTTGCTTTTCTTCTCATTCATGTAAGTTATTCATTTATTGTTGTAAGTATTGGCTGACTCATATTCAAGTGCTTTCCCATGTATACAGTGAGAGAAAAAGAAATTTCTTGTTCCCATAATTTAGAGAAGGACTGAAGTCAGGTATCAGTCCTCTACCAGTGGTGCAAGTGAAGAAACGTCTGTGTGGTCCTGACATGAACGAGGAAGAAACAAGCCCCTTGCCCTTAGAAAGATGCCAGGAACCTGTTGTTGCACGGGACTTTACAGTGTGTAGGAGGCAACGTTTTGTCTTTGGGGAAGATGAGGTATTGCTGAAGGAGCTACAACGCTAAGGCTTCTGTGAATAGGTTTCTGTTTGAGATTCAGGCTGAAGCAGGAAATCTGAGCATCCTTTCTTACCCAGCTGCTCAGTTACACAGCAGTAATGTGCTGTTAGAGGAGACCTAGAAGCCAGGTATCCTTCTGAAGATCTGAGAGTGGAAAACAAGTACCAAGAACATCCATTTCTACTTGAGGACCATCTAAACTCAAAGAAAAACTCAAGTGGGTAGAGACGTAAGAGAACTAAGGCAGAATCTAAATTCACAGTAAGTACTCATTAGATTAGTTCAGTCCCTCAACATCAGTGACCCAGTAAAAAGAGATGTGCCCCATTATGAACATAACTGTTATTTAACTTCTGTATTCTTTTAAATGAAATGTGTGGTCTTTAACAAAAAGTTCTGAGGTATATTAGAAAGTAAAATATGAGTCATCTTCAAAATATGAAAAAGTAAACACACTAGCCATAAAAGTGACTCAAGTATTAGAATTATCACACAGTTCGCTGATGAAAATAGCTAATTAGTATGTTAAAGATATAGTGGAGAAATTGGATAATGTGCATAAAGAGATGATGGGACTTTCATCAGGAAGCTGGTGATTATATAAAGGAGCTGAATTCAAATGTTAGAAATAATTTAATGGCAGACTCCAATGATGTTGTAGACGTCTCATAGCAGTTGTTACCAAAGAGTATACACCTGGTGCTGAAGGAAATACCTTGGGGAATAAAAAGGGGGCTCTGTCTTAGGAGTGGATTTTTATACTAAATATTTCTGTAATACAAAAATTGGGCTGAGTATTTAGAACTGAATGATAGTTATCCAAATGAAGGGGGTTTTTAATTAGAAAAAGAGTAAGACACGGTGATGTAAGAGAATGTTTGGGAAGATATGGTTTTCTCATGACTAGAGTTTAAGCATGAGGAGGTTCATAAGAGGGGCTTCAGACAGTTTAGAAACAGATGCTGTCCTGCTCAAAAGTGTGGATTTTATATGGTAGGTAAGATTTTTAACTTTTAGCATGATCTTTTTAAAATTTTTATTTATTATTTTAAATATTCATGCAATATATTTTGACCACATTCTTATCACTTTCCCATTTCCTCCCAGATTATTCTCCTCTCCCACCCAACTTTATTTTTCCCCCTTTCTCTTCAAGAAGAAAATAAATACACTTAAAAGAAAACATAAAACCAACCAAACAACCAAACTCCATAAAGTATGTTTTGTGCTGGCTAACTATTCCTGAGCATGAGGCCTGCCCTGGAGTTTGGTAGATAGACCCATTGTCACTCCATTTGAGGAAAATTGATTTTCTCTCTCCTAGCTGCTATCAGTTACAAAGAGCATCTTGGTTAGGGATGGGACTTTGTGCCTGCCTTTCCTTCTCCATGCTGGGATTTTGTTCACTTTGAACATGTGTACATTCTATCATGGCCTATGTGAGTTAATGTGTGCAATAGTCCTTGTTGTGTCTGGAAAAATGTTGTTTCCTTGGAGACATTCAACAACTCTTGCTCTTTCACTCTTACCATGCCCCTTCTGCATAGGTCCCTGAACTTTGAGGAGAGGGGAGTGATATAACAACATCCTATTTAGGGATGAGTACTTCAGAGTCTTTCACTCTCTGCACACTGTCCAGTTGTGGCTGTCTGTATTAATTTCTTTAAGAAGCTCCTCTGCTGAGGGATAAGCAATGCACTTACCTATGGGTATAGAAATATGTCATTTGGAGTCATTTTATTGCTACATTCACTTAGCAGAATAATAGTAGTAGATTTTCCTCTAGGGGCCATGACCTATCTAGTCTTGTCAAATATGGGCTCTATTTTGTGTAGCAAGCCTTAAATGCAATTTTAAAAATAGTATTTGGCTACTCTTATAACATTTATGCTACTATTGCATCAATGGGTATATTTTTCAGGCAGGTTGTTATTGGACACAGTGTTCACAGGGTTCATAGGGGGTGGGATTGATAGTTACTTTTCTCCTCCAATAGCATGAATAGTATCTTCTAACACTATGATGTTAGTCAGTAGGGATAAAGATCTAGTTGAGAACCAGTTCAGTTTCTCCATGTTCAATGATAGAAGCATGATCTGTTGTTATTGTTTAGAAAGATGAATTTAATGGCAGTATAAAGTATGATTTTCAAATCAATGAAGCTCAGAAAAGTTGAAGTCTGTTTTTGTAGTAAAGTCAAGGAGTGGTGAGGGCCTAAACAAAGAAATGGTACTTGAAATAATGACAGAAGGTTATTTGAAGGACATTTAGATAACAAACAGTACCTCAAACATCATTATTTATCAACCAATGTCCTTGGGTAGATATTCATTTTAGAAGATTGCTTTTTAACCTTTGTATTTACTGCTTTTAGCAAATGATACAGATACATCGTTCCTGGTCAGGAACATGGGACAAGTACATGACTTACGATTACAGCTATGTAATAGCTTAGGTTGTAAAAAAATGATAACATGCGAAATCCAAAGCAAGTAAGATTGATTGTTACATTGCTGTCTTAAACAAATGGGCTAAGTACACATAAGATAGCAGTATTAAGTGACCTCAAGGTTGTTATTAACTCTGGCTGTGAGGTCCAGCAAAAATTCCAGTCTCTTAGAATATAATAGTTATTTTCATAATATTGCATCACTACATTAGGAAAGAGACCAAGAAGACAAAACTGTGCTATAAACATCTTAAGTTTTCCAAAAGAACTCTTTCATAAAGCTGAGTCTTTTAATCTCTGTGTATGTCTATGTGGGTTGTATGTGTGTGTGCACATGAGTGCAGTGCAGAGGCCAGAAGAGGGCATCAGATCCCGGGGAGCTGAAGTTATAAGCATTTGTGAGCCATGTGGTATGGGTGCTAGGAACTGAACTCTGGTCCTTTTCAAGAACAAAATGCCCATGACAGCTGAGCCATCTTTCCAATCCCATAATTTTTTAAAAGATACTTGTGCTTCGTAAATCAAAACTTGGATATTATAAATTGTTCACAAGAAACTTATTCATGTAGAAAAGGGAGAGCAACTGACTCTCTAATGACCTATATCGCAGCCATTAACTGCATGGGACCACTGAACATTTGCAATGTAGATGCTTCTATGTTGGCAATATTTTTAATCTATTAGGTAAGATTAGATAAATTACTTTCAGCTGTATCTTTTTACTTTTTAAATATGGTGGATATTCAAAGTAAATATAGACTTACTTATTTTTGTTGGCCAGTCTTACCCTTATTCTTGCTTTATGGGAAAAATATTAAGTCTTTTCTTCAAGAGTTGAAGTGATGATATCTCAAATTTCTAGCCAAAATAAATAAATAAAGATTCGCTATGAAACCAAATGAAGTTTGATTTAATGATAAACAATTTCATTGTGGTTATACTATAGTTAAATATAAATTCTAATTTTTACTTTCTAAATCTTCACACTACCTACTTTGAGCTCAGACTAGCTAGATGGCTCAAGAAATTGTCTTTATTATTTTGTATTATACTGTCATAATTTGAACCTGATTTTCTAAGAAGCAACAACTTAAATTTCTTATCTTTACAACCAACAATTAGATGAAGTCTTGATTTTTTTTCTGTGATTTATAAATTAAAAGACTATAGAGAAATAGCCATTGTCTTTCTTCTTTTGAGCAGCATCCAAGTACACCAGGGCTAATAACAGAACTGAAAGAGACCGAATAGAACTTCTCCAGGATGCAGAACCTTTGGATTTTAATGCTGAAACATTCACTGATGATTCTCTGGAACCTGAATCAGGAAGGTAAGTTCTGTCTATGTCACTTGACTCTGGTGTGCCTCTGAAATGTTAACGATGTACTGAGCTTGAAAACAAAAGATAATTAAACATGAGAAAAATATTGGGCTTGGTGGGAGTATGCTTGCCTGGTATGCACAAGGCCCCAATTGGATGCTCAGCATAGCAAGATAAGAAAAAATTTCCTTTTCAGTATTAATTCAAAAATTTGAAGTGTCATTTAATACCTTCTTTGTTTTGTTTTGTTTTTTGAGACCAAGTCTCATACAGACCAGCTTGCCTTCCAGCTTGCTGTGTAGCTGAAGACGATTTTGATCAGATCCCCTTGCTTTCCCCTCCTGTTACAGGCATGCACCACCACACTCAGTTTATCTAGTCCTGGGGAGTTAAGTCCAGAGACTTGTGTGTGCTAGGCTACATCTACCAACTAAGCTATGTCCTTAGCACTTGATACTCATTTATACCCGCTAATTATTTTATTTTTCATAATTATGACATTCTGCCAGATGTGACATCTGCCTGTAATCTCAGCCTTTGAGCAGCTAAGACAGGAGGAGCAAAGTGAGTTTGAGGCCACCCTAGGTCACATAGTAAATTTCATGCCAGAATCAGAAATAGAGTGAGCTCTGCTAAAGAAAAACAAAAAGCAAACAAAAAAAAATCATTCTTTAGTTATAATTGAAATAGATATCTTTATATAACAGTAGTGACATTAGAAATAAGAAAGAAGAATTGAGACAAAGAACATGGAATCATGACTATATTTATATATCTATTGTGAAAATTCTTAGTGGATTAATGTCCTCAAAGACTCAATAATTTGCCTGGAGTCACACAGTTTATGAGTAAGAAATAAGGCATTTTAACTCCAGTACGTTGACTACAAAGCCTATGTCTTCATTTGTTTTGCCATGAGAAATAATAAAACAAAAAGCATCAAAATAGAACTTCTGTATGACCCAACTCTGCCACTGCTTATATGCCCAAAAGACTTAAGTATGCATACCACACAGATATTCCCACATCTGTAGCTATTGTTAATTATTAACAATAGCTAAGACTAAATGTCCACCAGCAGATAAAAGGTTAAGGAAAAGGTGGTCCATATATACAAAGAGATTTTATTCAACCATAAGGAAAAGTGTAAACATGACTTTGCAAGAAAATATTTGTAACTAAAAGTCATGTTAAATGAAATAAGCCAGACTCAAAAGGTCTTAAAAGTAAGAAGAGGACTATAAGAGGAAAGGAAAAGATCTTAAATGATGAAGAGAAGGAGAGTAACAGCATACATGTGAAAACAGAAGGGAAGACTGCTTGTGGGGACCAGGAGACCAGCAAGGAGGGAACAGGGTTGGGGATAGCAGAGGAAGGGAACGAATATGAATAAAACATGATGTATGTGTGTGTATGTGTATATGTGCGTGTACCATAAAGAAGACCATTACTTTGTGTTGCTAGCTTCAAAAATAAAAACAGAAAAATATCACACATGCTTAAAGTGTTTAATATATTATTGCCTATAAATAGCAAAAACCCTAGAATACTCTTTATTTGACAATTAAATGTGGTTATTTACGCAGTATCCTGAATGTGTCTTACTTCCCCCATTTTGTTTATGCCATTCACTCTATGAGGGGTGTGTGTGTGTGTGTGTGTGTGTGTGTGTGTGTGTGTGTGTGTCTTCAAACAGCTGCTGGTTGATTTATTATTAAGTCCTTTTGGATTATTATTTTGGGAGATAGGATTCTACTTTTGGCTACTGAATAAATTTTATGGTCTTTACAAATTTTGTAATTACTTCCTTTTAGTGTTTTCTCATATTTTTTCTTTTTTTAAAAAATATTTTACATCATTTTTGTATGTTTGCTTTTTAGGTATCAACCTGGTGGACGATATCTCTCTATGTCTTCCAGCATAATATTTGAAGATATCTAAAGTCTGAAGAAAATCATGGCTCAAGTAACCAAGGTCATCACATCAGCTCAGCCTTTATGAACATCATTGTGACCTACAATTCATCTGTACTCTCTGTGAATAATAAGGATAACAAAAATGGCATTGAAAATGGATCCCATCTTAACAATATTAAGTTATTGTTTGTTAACTAGAGTATCATCTTTTTTGATAGGATTTATTATATACCATCTGAAGTGTCTGCCTTAGAAGTGTAGTTAAATGGAAGGATTCAGTTCATGATAAAGAGAACACAGTTGGTTTCAAGTTACTTTTTTTCAGGAGAGTTATTTTAAAGTTCAAGGAACTCATAAGTCATACTAAATGCTACTATTTTATAACTGTAATTTAAATTTATTCAACCTACATTTCCCAAAGAAGTGAAAGTGAACTGAGACCTCAGATAATTACTGTATTTACAAAACTCATGTCTTAAAATAAGGCTTCCTTATCAGACATAACTGAATGTAAACAACCCTTCTTCCACTCTGTATACAAAATAGTGGGATTTTGCATGTGTAGTTAAGATTATTCTTCAATTGATAGTGTTAGTGTCTTTGGCATGTGTATTCTAATTGAGTGAGGTGTTATTTTCATTCTTTGTGGTAACTGGATCTTTTTATGGTTTTCATATTGTTGCTTTGTAAAAGATTTTCATTTCAGAGAAAAATATTCACCTTTAGCATTTAGCATACTGACTTGACACTGATCATTCCAGCCAAGAAAAAAATAATAAATATTAAGGATGGGTAATATATATATACATATATATATATATATATATATATATATATATATATATATATATCCAAAGAGTTCCCCAAGTTCTCTAATACTTAAAAGATGCCTGTTAATACTCCTTGAAAAGAAAATATTTGGCTACTTTGGCTATTCAGATGTAAAAAGAAAAATAATCCATTTATGATTATTGCTAGCATTAAAATTTTAGCTTAAAAAACAAATGTATTAGGATGAAAATGTGTAGTAATAATTTTTTTGTTAAACACGCTTATTATTTTAAATTGGTTGTTTCAACCTTTGCATTTAAGCCAAAGTTGAGTATTATGTTTAAAGAGCCAGTGTTTTATTACAAAGTGAACATGATTTGAGCACATGTTTGCAGGAATTGTTCTATGATCCTGAAATATTTGTGTTTCTTCCGGAATCCATTCTACATGAATGACCAGATTTGAAGTTGTCCAGACAGTCTCGTGCCTATTTTCCTTGCAATTATTCCTAGTGCTCAAGTGTTACTTTGCCATATGTTGAGGACATAGTTCTATGTAGGTACTGAAAGGAAGGATGCATCATTTCTCATTATCTTTCTTTTTTAATGGTCGTATTTTTTATAGCCTTTCAAGTAGAGCCCCTTTTAAATAATTATCAGTAGAGAGCTACTCTGAATTGAAGGTTGCATGCCTGCTTAATTCAAGGACACATAAGGCATATAACCTTTTACTGTGAAATGCGGTCAGAGAGCAGTTGACCAGAGCAGTGATAATGTAATGCTGTTTATAATTTTGTGATTGGTTCCTGAAATACCTTGGGCAGATCATGGAACCTTTCAGTGCCTCAATTTCTTCATTTTTTAGAATGAAGGACGTATTTGCTACTTACCCACTGATCTACCTCACGAAACTGTTGTGAGGGGGTTCGGGTGATGATTGTGTGCTGGGGTTTCTGCTGGGCTGTTTTGTTTGTTTGTTTGTTTGTACTTGTTTTTTTAAGTAGCACTTTGAAAGTAAAAAGGATGATTATCACAGTAGGGGGTCTTTGAGAAGCTTTAAAGTCCCCAAAGCAAAATGAACTAATTAGTCTAAAGTCCCTGAAACCGTGTTTCATCATTTGTTCTGTGGATTTGCTTTGAAATATTTTTCTTAAATATGATTTTTGTTAAAATTTTTCTTCATACTCAGATACTATTGTTGTAATAGAAGGATAAAAAGAGAAGAAATGTCCAATTTTACAATTAATTTTGATAACACACTAAGCAAATTGATAGGAATGTATAAAGGAATTCAGGTATTTTCCTTTTAAGTTACACTAATAGAAGCATACGTTTATATACATATGTATAGATACATACATACACACACATACTGGCTTTTGAGTTACTTCTACAGTGAATTTTTGTTTCAGTGATCCAGAATATTCAAATTTTTAGAGTTTCTCTTACGGGATTTTGTATGCAACAATGTAGAAAAGTTACTTCGCTGAGTAAATTTGTGTATAGAAGGTAATGATTTCATGCTAGAAGACTGAGTTTATTTCTGAGGAATTAAGTTAATATTTATTAAGCTTTGTGTAAAGCATTGGTAGTATGTACAATATTTTTATTTTTGAGACACTTATTAATATGTAATAATACAGTCACAAAAATATTAATACAGAGTTCATATGCTTTACATGCAAAATGGTTTTCTTAAAGAATTATTTCTGATACTTTTTCATGTCTTTCTTACATGTTAATAAATATTTGATTAGAATGATCTAAAGTTTAGGTTTTTTGATACAGGGTCTCATGTAGCCCAGACTGGCCTCAAACTGTCTGTATAACTGAGAATGACCTTGAACTTTCTCTTCCACTTCCCAAGTTCTAAGATTAAAGACATGTGCCACAGCACCCAAATCTATATTTTTAAAATAATTGTTAAGAATATTTAACAAGCTAATAACTCAAAGTAAGTATTATATAAAAAAACTTTAAATTTCAAGAATCACTTATATATTGCTAATTTACTTTTTAAAACTGCATGATCATTTTATTAATTATACATTTTTATAAAAGAATTTTAAATAAGAATTAAAACATAAAGGTAATTATAAATATTTGCTATCGTATCACATTCATACAAGAGTTTTAGAATAATTTCATCCCACAAAAGGGTCTCACTTCACGCAAGTGGTGAGACTTAAAGTGTGGGAAGTCCTTATCATAAAAACAAATCAGACTCAACCGCCTAAACACCCCAAAAAGTGTTTTGTTGATTTTTCTGGCCTCTACCATTTAAATTGTCTGATCTAAAATTTAAGCATATGTGTCCAAAGTAAGTGTAGGTGTGGAAAGTCATTGTGTATTTTTTAAAGTTTTTTTTTTCATCATGCTAATGGACAAATTTCATTTGTTTATTTACAGACTTTATTTTATATCTTTAATAGGTTTAGGGAATATTTTTGATCATATGCTGATTACCATATTAAGAGGAAATAAAACCTATAATTACCATTTAGGCTATAGTATGATTTATACTTACAATTTGAATAGGCCATGTCTGAAAAATGAAGGATGAAAGAATATTTGTACTAAGAGACAAAACATGCCCTTGAGAAGTCCTGGCACACTTAAATTTTCAAAGTGCAGTGGACTGTATACATTGAACTCTCAAAGCTAGGAAGTAAGTGTGTTTAGGGTTGCCTTTCCTTTGTGCCTCCCTCTCCCCCCCTCGCTCCTTCCCATCTCTGTCATTTGACTTTCAGGATGCTGAGGGATTTTCTCTTTTGTTTGTTTTTATGTACACAGGTTTTTTGTTTTGCTTTTTGGTTTTTGGTTTTTTTTGGATGAGCAGTACACTGAAAAGGAACTACTTCTGACTTCAAACCTCATTACTTGAAACAGCAGCATTGTACCTAAAGTAGTGAAACAGACTGCTGGATGAATGAACAGTGTCTGAATAGAAGCGTGGTTCATACTAGCTCAGTGCACTTTCTTTTAGATGACTAAGGAGGGCGCTGCAGTAAAAATTATTTTCACTGTAAAAAATTGTATAAAATGATTTTAAAATGCCCAACATTAAGAACTGTGAGTGCCGGATGGTGGTGGCGGCGCACGCCTTTAATCTCACCACTTGGGAGGCAGAGGTAGGTGGATCTCTGTGAGTTCGAGGCCAGCCTGGTCTACAGAGTGAGTTCCAGAACAGGCTCCAAAGCTACACAGAAAAACCCTGTCTCAAAAAAAAAAAGAAAAAAAGAAAAAAAGTGGGGGGAGAAAAAGAAAACGGAACTCATAAAAATGTTCATGTTTAAAAATGGAACAAAGGGTTACAGGAGTCTTTGTGAAATCTGAATTTTTTTGATAGTACTTCCAGATTAGTGGTTTTTTTGTGACTGGAGACTTGGAAGACTAGACAGGTTTAGCCCCATTTCCAGTTCCTGGATCTCAGCCCCATGGTGTGGCCACTACCCTCCTTTCCACTTCGAAGGAAGCATGCTCTCACCTCTAATGTCTTACATATTAGTCAGTATAACACAACAACAAAATGCCATTTTCAAAGAATTTATCCACTGAGATCAGGTGAAGTATTGCTATAATTTAAATTTTCCTTAATAAAGTAATACTTGGTATTATTCTGTCATTTCTATCCTAAAAGATGTTTCGGTTTCTTCCCTAAAAACCTTTTCTTTTGTGATTATGTTGATTACAAATAATTTTGTAAAAGAACTTTCTGTGTTTGGTGCAAAAGAGTAGCAAACTGTGGCAGACATGTCAGGTGAATCGACAGCACACTGAAGTGCACAGCATTTGGAGGTGGCATTATGGCAGGACTCCACTGTCTTTATCAAAAGAGAACTGGCTAACATCTTCCCTATTTGGCATGCCAAGTTGGAGGGAAGAGACTGTGTTATTTATTTATTTTTTAAACAATCCAATGGATTTGTTTTTGTCTGTATTTTGGGAACAACTTGAAGGATCTTTTCTCATTTTAGAAGATAGAGAATATATCTCTCTTAAATACTATAACCTAATATATATAAATTATAGCATTGAAAATACAAAAAGCTCTAATTATTGATGTTGTTATTCCCTGGTATTTAATTTTTATAAATGTTTTTGTAAGTAAGTAATTGTAGTATTGCTTTTAAATAGTTTAAAAGTCATCCTTAAATAAGTTCTGATCCAACATACTACTTTGATACAATATTCTAAAGTGCAGTACTCTGATGTGAATTTGGAACATGTCTGCATTTCCTTAGTTTCTTCATATGTATGCATACACACACAGTACCCAAGAAAAGCATACCATAAGCCTAATTTCCTATTGCATTGATAAAGAGCTTGGTATTTTGCCATCATATAATTCAGTTGACTAGATGAACTAGAACATAAATCTTTTTAAATTATATTCAATCACAATTTTCAAAATGGTAACTCTTCATTTTGGGGGTGCATGATGCCAAGTTTATCTTTAATCAGCCTTTATTACTGGATGTATAACAATGGATGCTTTCCTACTTGTCCAGTAGGTTGTAGATTTAACTATTTTTTCTGTAGATTCTCACTACATTTTCAAATCTATATTTGGAAAAAACTGCAAATTGCTATCAGGAAGTAAGTTAGCATCTTTGGCCTTATCTATGCATAATGTTCCTTAATTTGATTTTGACAAACTCATTGACTCACAATTCCTTTGTAGTATTGTAACTGACTGTGATGTAATGAATTTTTGAAGTGTTTATATGATTCATTATTAAAATATAAGATACATAGCTTTGCATGAAATAAATTACATTTCTATGAGCTACAGTTTTGCTCGTTATTTATGCATCTTCATTGAGATTAAACTGTTTTGAGAAGATGTAAGTATTCTTGATTCTTTATATATCCATTTATATATCCACTGTCAAATGTTACAGAACGTTTAAAGATGAGTAATTAAATAGGTATACTCTTAGTATCCGCTCTTTCTTGTGTTAACAGTGAAAACAGAAGTAAACAGAAACTTTATGTGTGTTACTGACAGTAAAAATGGAAAAGCAATAGAAAGTTAACAGAACCAAAGATGACAGTTTCAAAAACATCAATAAAAGTGATAAAACTCTAGCCAGCCCAACCAAGAAAACCGAACAACTTTCTTTCCTGTGCGCCAAATATAAACAATTAGAATTGGAAATTTAAAACACAGTAACATGTATATTAGTCCCCAAATGAAATACTTAGGTATAAATCTAACAAAATCTGTACACATTATATTTGAGAAAAAAATGGAAAAGTGATGAAATTAAACAACTAAGTGAAGACATAGTCCATCTTTTTGACTTAATAGCTTATAGATGTGGATTTTTCCTAACTTGACCTACATACTCAATGCAGTCAGTTCAAAGCCTAGTAAATTATTTTGTGAATATTATCAAATAGTTTATGGGAGAGGCAAAACTCTACAAGAGCCAATTAGATATTGTCAAGAGCAAAGCCTACAAACACTACCTGATTTCGAAGTTTATTATAGAACAATAAGAAGGCATAGTAGCATTGGTGGGAAAATTACCAGATCACTTGATCAGACTAAGGAACGTAGAAATGAATGCACATGAATAGATTCAGCTGATCTATGACAAAGGACAAAGGCAACCGTGTTGAGAAAAGAATGTTTTCCACAAATGTTGCTGGAATAGCTGATAAGCATACTACTACATACAGCTATAAAAAAGCATATTACTATGGATGCCAATCTTACACTTTCCACAATTTAAAACCATGGTCCTGAAGCACAAAACTATGAAAATATAAGGTTACATCGTGGATACTATTGATTATCATAGGTGATCTTGGGTTTGACAATAATGTTTAGATCTAACACAAAATGAATCCACTGAAGGAAAACTTGAAAAAATGGTTAGAAGGTATTCATTTCTTTTTAAGGGTTGAAGAGATGGCTCAGTGGTTAAGAGCAGTTACTGCTATTGCAGAGGACCAGGATTTGGTTCCCAGCACCAACATGGCAGCTCACAACCACCTATAAACTCCAGTGCTGGGCAATCAAATGCCCCCTTCTGGTCCCCATGAGCACCAAGCCTTTATGTTGTACACACATATATATAATCAGGCACACATACATACACATAAAATAAATATAAATTTTAAAGTTTTTTTAAATATTTTTTAAATACTTATCACATAAAATTGTATGCTTTGTTATGACATATATAAATGATTTTGATTGTATTTACTAGCTTCCATCATCCCAATGGTTTCTTTCCTCGTCTGTAATATTCCCCCTTCTACTTTAACGTCTTTAAAAGGATTCCATAGGTAAGTGAGAGCACATGACACTTAACTTTCTGCATCTGGCTTATCTGACTTAACAAGATCATCTCCAGCCCCATCATTTTCCTTCATGTGACATAAATTTGACAAATATGGGTGACTATTAACCTGGAATTCTTTCTTATCCTATATAGCTTTTAAGAACTAAAACTTCAAGTTGTATAAACCAGCTGAATAGGTAATACCTAAGCAAAAATAGAAACAGATGTACAGTATAAGGACAATAACCTTAAAATTATAACAATATACAAAAATATCTTAAACGGAAGTAGAAACATGCATACAGTTTAACAAAAATAACTTTAAATTTGTATCAATATATAAAAATCTTAAACAGAAGTACAAACATATACAATATAACAAAAATAACCTAAATTTGTATCAATATACAAAAATCCATATTAATGTAAATTATTTAAAACATAATTGTTTTTTTATTTTGAAAATAGCCACAATAATCTACCTTTTTATCCTGTCATATCTAATCCCCCCTTTTTCTTTTCCAAATGAGATCCCTGAGTGTAATCTCTTTTGTTCAGCCCCTTACCCTATAACAACTTATAACCAATCTCCTTACCTGATGACAAATATCCATAACCCTGAGAAAGAGCAAAAACCATCTACCCCATTTATTGGGGAAGTGGGCATCATGTTCTTAAAATTACTTCCTGCTGCTGGGGCGGCATGGGGGGGGGCGACAGCATCTCTAGGGAATGCTGTAAAAACTGAAACAATGGTTAAGTCTCTGGAGAACTAGCTGCATCATTTGTTGTCAGTCTCTAAGTAATGGGAAGTGTAGAGCTTATCTGAAGTCCTGGTTGGAGTGGTACATGAGTGTGGACCATCTCAATTAGTCTCAATTAGTCACCTTGAAATTGTGCTGAGCAGTTTGTAGTTCAAAGCTGTTCTCAGGGTGGTGGTTATCAGCTTAGTGGCATACAGCTTGTTGTGGGGCCCATCATCTTTTTGGAGAATTCAGAGATCGCTGTTAGGAATATTTATCATTCACTGTAGAAAACTTAAACATCATCAATATCAAGAGAGAAAGTTTAAATTTTGAAATAGTACTATACCTAAATAAAAGTTTTAAAGAGTCAAAATTAATTAAAGGGGTCTGAGATTTGTGACAATCATAGCCCCTAGATTTTGGTTTTCTTCTATCCCATACAAGGTGGCTCTTCTGATATGAGACAGAGACTCTGATTTTTGTGTTAACAATATGCTTGGGTTTAGAGAAGAGAGCCACACTCCAACTCCAAAGTCACCTTAGTTTTTAGTTGAGTTGGGACTATAAAGACCATCTGTTTAACATGACTGTAGAGACCAGTGAAAACAAACATTTTGAGAGGTATATGAGATTTTACCCTGTTGAAAGTATATTATACCGTTAGTCCAGATTACTCCTTTTTCTTGTAATTTTTCCAGACAGTTCTCTCTTCTTCTTTAGATGTCTATCTGCCAAAGGTCTTTGACTTCTTCAAGATGGTTGTTTTTATTTTCCTGCAAAGACAAGAACAGAACCTTGCCCTGACCCTAATTTGGTGATTTTTTTTTTCCTTTTGACAGGTAGAATGGCCACACTGGTTGAATTATCACCTCTCATCATTAAGAGGTCTCTCCTGTTCAAATCAAATCTTTATTAATTTTGATGGTATCCATAGCTTTACTTCTGTGGAAGCAAAAGTAAAACCACTTTCCCAACATAATATATCCTGGTTTCCATTCTGAGATCAACACATCTGTAAAGTATACAGACTTATTTAATTTAGTAGTTTTTTTCTACTGTCCAATGTCTGTCGGCAGCTGTCATTCCAGTCTTAATTTTTACAGGTATTCCCATGATGGCCATAACTTCTAATAGATGTGTAAGTACAGAATTGGTCTTTTCAGAACTCAAAGCAGTTGCCCATTGAAATCCCAAATATGTATCTATGGTATTGTGTACATGTGGTGGTATTCTAATTGTACTGAAATGTGATTTTGATTGTATGTTAATAAATAAAGTTGCCCGGGGGTCAGAGCTATTAGAGCCATAGACAGAGTGTGGCGGTGGTGGCACACGCCTTTAATCCCATAGATCTCTATGTGTTCAGGGATACAGCCAGCATTGGAGACATATGCCTTTAAGACCTAGGGGGCTGTACATTCAGACAGTGACGAGGCAGTCACGTGTTTGGGTTTACAACCAATGAGAAGGCAGAACAATAATACTATAAAAAAGACGTACAGACAGGAAGTGGCTCTCTTTCGGGAAGCTGGGACACCGCAGGTGGAAGGGTGAGATTTTAGCTCTGAGCTCTGACCTCTCGGCTTTCTCTTTTACATTGTTTCTGTGTTTCTTATTTAATAAGATGGTTGGTTACATCAATATGTACATATTTTAATTTTCCAAATTCTGAAAAATGAAACACATCCATCTGCCAAATATCATTTCATAACTCTGTGGTTATTGAGATTATAGCACAAACAATAAAATAGTACCCAAACAAAGCAAAATGAAACAAAAAATCCACAAAGATACCAGGGAATTAAGTTTTCATTCTATGAATCTATTATTTTTATGTAACCAGAGCTAAAAAACAAAGAACCAGAGAAGAAGAAATTATAGAACAAAGCAAATGAAAACATTTTGTATACTATATTTCTAGTATGAATATAAAGTAATTCAAATCGTCGTTAGTGTTAGTTGTCCCTTCTCATATCCCCTCCTGTACCCTTCTCACAATCCCCATCCCTATTTTATCCTTCTATTCTAGTTTCTGTCTTATCTCTCCATGACACTATATTCTATTTCCCATTCCTTGGGAGATCCTCTCCTCTCTCCTACTCCCTTGCATAAAGCCAGGGTGTGGTCATCATATACAGATTGCATTTGTACATTAGCATAATTTCCCTCTCCAAGAAACAGCTTGGGAGATTTCCATACCTATGGTCCTTCTTTGTTGTTCAATGGACTTAGTCTCAGCCTTCCACCAGATCCTCCATTGTAATTGGAGACCAGCTTCTAAGACAGCTGTAACCAAATGTCTCCAGTCTTGAGGGTTAATTCTATTACAAGTTGACCATGAGTTTAACATTGGCTTCACAAACAGGGAAGGCATACCATATGACACTATAGCTTCTTTGAATCTCCTCAAATCTAACATTTGCACAGGAGTCCAGTCAGCTCTTATACAGCCTTGAGCATTTGGCATTTCCTGTAAGGTTACTAGATAGATTAAGATTGGCTGTTTGAAAGCCGTAGGCTGTTTCTCTGTAACCATATAGTGCAATGCTGAGATTGGTTGACCCTTAAATTCCTCTGTCTGGGTCTGAATTTCTCTATGATCTATTTTAACAAGTTTTTCTAAAATTTTTATCTTGGCACTCATATTAACCAACTTTTAAAATGATAAATAATGGTCAAACAAATACTATTTGTAATTGACATTACATAAATCCCATCTATGTTAATTTTCCTCTCATTTTAAATC